TGTTTCTCAACCCCTTTTAACTTGAGTCTTTATGTTTAGATTGTGTTTCTTGTTTTATATAATTGAGTCTTATTTTTTTAAGTCCACTTTGACAATCCTTGCTTTTTAATTGGTGTATTTAACTATTCACATTTAAAATGATTATTAATATAGATTAATCAGGTATTTTTTATTTGTCATTTGTTCTTTGTTTTTTTCTCTTCTTTTTCTACTTTTTCTGGTTTTATTCCAACATTTTATACAATTATGATTTATATTCTCTCATCATGTCACCTAAAATTATTTTAACAGTTGCTTTAGAGTTTACAACACATAGTTTTTAACTCATGTAAATCTATTCTCAAATAACACTATGCGGTTTCATGTGCCATGCAGATAACTTACAACAGTGTTACCAATTCATATTCTTTGTGATATTGCTGTTGTTCATTTGACTTATCTATATGTTATAGCTGTTATTACTTTAGACAGTTATCTTTTATATCAGTGAAGAATAATAAAAATAAAAGGTTTCATTTTACCTTTATTTTTAAAACTAGATTCTTTCTTTATGTAGATCAAAATTTCAGACCTTATCATTTTCCTTCTCTCTGAAAAAAAGTTTTTATTTTAAGATTTCTTGCTTACAGTGTAGGTCCACTGGTGATGAATTCCTTCACTTTTTGTTTCTCTGAGATGGCCTTTATTTCTCCTTTGTTTTGAGGGGTCATTTTGCTAGATATAGAGTTCTAGGTTGGTAGTTTTTTTCCCTTCACCACTTTAAATATTTAATTTCTATTCTCTTTTTTCCCACATAGTTTTTGATGAAAGGCCCCATGGAATTCTTGTCCTTTTTCCTATTTATGTGAGGTATTTTTATTCTCTGGCTTCCTTAAAATTTTTCCTTTTTGTCTTTGTTTTTTTTTTTGCTGTTTGAATATGATGTGTGTGTGTGTCTTTATGTGTGTAATTTATCCTGCTTGTTGTCTTCTGAGCTTCCTGAGTGTATGGTTTGGTATTTTCCATTAGTTTCAGAAAGTTGTCAGCCATTATTACTTCAATATTTCTTCTGCTTCCTATGTCTTTTTTACCTTCTGGTATTTCAGTTAAACATATCCTATGCCTTTTGACATTGCCCCACCATTCTCGGATAGTCTGTTTTTTTTTCCCTCATCCTTTTTCTCCCCTTGCATTTCAACTTGGGAAGTTTCTATTGATCTATTTTCAATTTAATTGATTCTTTCCTTGGCTATGTCTAGTCTACTAATGAACTCATCAAACGCATTCTTCATTTCTATTGTGGTCTGTTTTATTGGCAGTATTTCTTTTATTTTTATTTTATTGATTATGCCATTATAGTTGTTCTATTCCCCCCTTCATTCCCCTCCACCCTGCACTCCCCACCCCTACCATTCCCCCCTTTAGTTTATGACCATGTGTCTCAAGTTCTTTGGATTCTATATTTCCCATACCATTCTTGCCCTCCCCCTATCTATTTTCTACCTACCGTCTATGCTACTTATTTTCTGTACCTTCTCCCCCTTCTCCTCCCACTCCCCTGTTGCTAACCCTCCATGAGATCTTCATTTCTATGGTTCTGCTCCTGATCTAGCTGTCCTCTTAGTTTGCTTTTGTTTTAGGTGTGGCAATGTTAGTAACTGTGAGTTTGCTGTCCTTTCACTGTTCAAATTTTTTATCTTCTTTTTCTTAGATAAGTCCCTTTAACATTTCATATAACAAGGGCTTGGTGATGATGAACTCCTTGAATATGATCTTATCTGAGAAGCACTTTATCTGTCCTTCCATTCTAAATGAAAGTTTTGCTGGATAGAGCAATCCTGGTTGTAGGTCTTTGGATTTCATGACTTGGAATACCTCTTTCCAGCCCCTTCTTGCCTGTAATGTCTCTTTTGAGAAATCCGCTGACAGTCTGATGGGAACTCCTTTGTAGGTGACTGTCCCCTTAGCTCTTGCTGCTTCTAGGATTCTCTCTTTCATTTTAATCTTGGCTAATGTAATTATGATGTAACTTGGTGTGTTTCTTCTTGGGTCCAACTTCTTTGGGACTCTCTGAGCTTCCTGGATTTCCTGGGAGTCTATTGCCTTTGCCAGATTGGGGAAATTCTCCTTTATTATTTGTTCTACTAAGTTTTCCACTGGTGGCTGTTCCTTTCCCCCTTCTGGTACCCCTATAATTCGAATGTTGGAGCATTTAAAGGTGTCCTGGAGGTTCCTAAGTCTCTCCTCATTTTTTTGAATTCTTGTTTCTTCATTCTTTTCTGGTTGGTCATTTTTTCCCTCCTTCTGGTCCACTCCTTTGATTTGAGTCCCAGTTTCCTTTCCATTACTGTTGGTTTCCTGTGTGTTGCCATTCATTTCAATTAGTTTAGCCTTCATATGTTCCTCTAATTTGTGACTAAAATCCACCAGTTCTGTGAGCATCCTGATGACCAGTGTTTTGAACTGTGCATCTGAAAGTTTTGCTATTTCTTTGTCACTTAGATTTATGGGCTCTGGGGCTTTGAGATCTTCTTGAGTCATTTTTGGTCTGTTGGCGCCCATTAAGTATGAGGAGCAGAGCCTTAGGGGCGGGGCAGGGCCTCCAGGGCAGGGTCACTGGGTTGCGATGCAGTATGTGGGGGAAGGGTCAGAGTGGGGAAATGGCGGCCCTTTCTGTTGCTTCCTGTCACTGGGACCTGCTCAGTCCCATCTCACTGCCCGCTCCTTTGCTGGTCTATCTGCGCAGGAATGCGCCAGCACAGTCACCCCACTGCCCTTCAACCCGCTGCCCTTCACCCTTGGCTGGATCTGCTGGTCGCTCACTGGGTCGCTCACTGGGTCACTCACTGGGTCTACCCTTTGATATGTGTGCCTGAGTTCATCTGACTGAGTTTTCCTGCGCAACCCCGCTCCACCAGCTGCTGGTTTCGCCCCTCTTACAGGTCAGACTGAAGCATTTGTTGTTATCAGACTTCTGAAAAGTTCAATTTTCTGTGTCCTGGCTGTGTTTTCTGTTGCTAATATTTTATTGTCTCTAAACTTGGTTGTGTGAGAAAGCACAGCGTCTCCACCTATGCCTCCATCTTGGAGGAAGTCCCCTATTGGCAGTATTTCTTTTGATTATTTCTTGCAATTTCCATGTCTCTGTTTACATTAGTCTAATGTATGTTTTCCAATGCCAGTAGTTAAGTTGGAAGGAAACAGTCCTTTGTGTTTCTACTCTACTTTTATGCTACTACCACTCAACACAGTTGTATGAGATTTTTCCCCCCACATCAAGCTGTTTTTCAGTTCTCAGCAGACACTAACTGGATGTCCCACAATTTATCTCAGTTCTGACACTATGTACCCAGAGAGAGCATCAGATCCCACATGTAAAGGGCTCAGTCCCACAAGGCTTTCCCCACTTCAGATGCCAGTTACAAGTCCAGGTTGTTCTGTGTGCTTCTGACCAACTCGCTATAAATTAAAGGTTCCCATGACCCTTCTGTACAATTTGATTAATTTGCTGGAATGGCTCACAGAACTCAGAGAAACAATTACTTAAATTTACTGGTTTATTTTGAAGGATATTATAAAAGATCCAAGTGAAAGCCCAGATGAAGAGGCACATGGGGTAGAGTCCAAACAGGTCCTGAGTACAGAAGTTTTTGTCCCCCTGGAACTGGGGTACACTGTCCTCCAGACACATGGATGCATCCACCAATATGGAAGCTCTCTGAAGTCTGTGTTTTTGGTTTTTTGGAGACTTTATTATAAAGGCATGATTGATAACATCTTTGGACATTGGTGTCTCTTTTACCTTCATCCTCCTCTTGCCTCCCTGGAGGTTGGAGGGCAGAGCTTAGAGTTTTAACTCTCTAATTAGGGTTGGTTCTCCTAGAAACCAACGCACTTCATTAGGGGCTTTTTAAAAGTCCTCTCTCATTAACATATATTTCTTAATGTAAATTATACTATTCCAATATCACAATTACCCATTTGTCTGTGCATGTTATCTATTTTTCCATTAGAGTTCATTCTATTTTAATCATAGTTACTTAAAATTTTCTGCTTGATAATTTGAACATCTATGTCATATCTGTTGAATGTCCAGAGAATTTTTATAAGAGTTTAATTGAGTTTATTTGGGACAGATGATGACATGACAGGAGAAAGATCTCAAATGCTCTAGCAAATGACAGTTTTATAGTTCTGTTTATATATTTGAAACTAAGGAGAGAACTTAAGGAAGATTGAATGAAAGTGGAAGAGAGCAGGGTGGGGAAAGCTCTTTGATTGGATTGAAGGACAGTTAATAGAATTATGTGCTGTCTTAAAGGTTATTCTTCCCAAGAGTCTGAGAAAGAGGCATTTCAAAGGTGTGTTAAGTAACCTAAATTCACAGGAACAATGGACAGGATCTGTTTAAGTTGAAGATAAATCTTTAACTACAGAAGTTATAGGCCTGGGATGTGACTACCTACCATCACTTGCTCAGTTAGGAATTTATGGTCAGATCACCCTGTGAGGTTCCTTTTGGTTACTAAACTTTGTCAGATTTATTACATAGCCCCCTTTTTGTTCGCATATCTGAGTCTGGTTCTGATAATTACTTTGTCTCTTTAGACTGTGTTAATTTTTCTTGTCATGCTTTCTGATCTTTTGTTGAAAGCTGAACATGTTTTACTGGGATATAGAAACTGGGGTAAGTAGGCTTTTGGTATGAGAGTTGATGTTAATCAGGTTAGGAGCTGGGCTATGTTCAATGTTTGCTGTAGCTGTAAGTGTCAGAGGCTCTCTGTCCTGCTGGGGCCCCTGTTTCCAATTTCCTTCTTGTCTCTGGGTTTCCCTAAGTATTTCTTTCGGGAGAGAAAGAGCCTGTGTCTGGCAGCTGTAACCCACTGTTGTTCTCCTGGATATCTGTTGGTATGTGATAAGGGCTGGAGAGAAGGATCACATGCTATAAACTTCTGGTTAAACCACACCCTTCTAGTCAACTTGTTTCTCAGAGCTGTAGCCTTCAAGAATGTGTGCCCAGGGGTGTAGCTTTCCCTTGTCCCTTCTTTCTTACATGGCTGCAGTGTTCTGAACCTATCTCCTTGAAGCCTGGGCCCATGCCGATGAGCCTTTTTCCTCCTTAGGTGAGACAGCAGGGCTGGAGGGAGTAGGGTGGAGATGATCGCCTTTCCTCCAGTTGGAATAGGCTCTGGCAACATCCTTAGGCCTGGAGAATAGGCCTTTGTAGGGGAAAAGCTCTGAGCTGATTTCTCAACCATTCCTTTGTGCCCGAGCCAGGAGGGGATCTCTCCCAGGGTTTTACTGGGACAACCGGCAGGGGCTCCTGGAGGTAAAACCCACGGAAGTGTGGGGGCCCTGCGAGGACTTTGACCCAAGAATTTCTCACTCTCAGGCTAACTCATACTCAGCCTTCAGCAAGTTGTCAAAACTGCCATTTAAATGTTCCTACCAGTTCACAGTTCCGGTGGCTTCTGTTCCAGGTGAGTAGGTCTTGGCTGTGTCTCTCTGAATGATCTTGTAGCTCCAGATTGTGGAATGGCAGTTTGCCCTCAGTTCTCTGATGGGTCAATAAAAAGTAATGTATTTATTTAGTAATTAAAAAAATTTTCAGTTACTGTTGACACACTATATTACATTAGTTTTAGGCGTATAATATAGTGATGAGACATTTATATGACTTATGAAGTGATCACCCCAATAAGTCTAGCACCCTTCGGCACCTTATATAGTTATTATAATATTATTGACTACATTTCCTATACTGTACTTTCAGTTTATCCAGATTTTTCTTCTTAAAGATCGGAATGATGACTTCCATGTCTGAGATGAAACCTGAAGTTTGGAAGATGAAGCCTGAACTTGCTCTCTATTAACTGGTCCTGCGTGGATAAGTCTAGCACTCTTTTTTAAAAATATAGAAATACTTGCTCCTCATGTTCTGGAGCTCACAGATAACGTGCTGAGCTCATTTCATGTGCTCCTAGTAAGGGCAACCTGGGTCCATTTAAGGCAAAGGTAAACTTTGGACTAAAGAAGTTATAGGCCTGGAATGTGACTGCCCATTATCACTTGCCCAGTTAGGAATTGAGGATCAGATTGGTTACTTTTGGTTACTAAACTTTGTCAAATTTATTACGTAGCTCCCTTTTTGTTCACATTATCTGAGTCTGGTTCTCCCCTATGCTGCATGACTCAGGAAGTTCACAGAACCCCACCTGGGAAGGGAGGAAGCCAGTTGTGGCTGACACTCGCTTCAGCCAGGCATTCCTGCAAGCATTTTATTTATAATTGCCAACTCAGTTAATTCTTACAGAACTCCAAAGACAAATTACAGTCATTTGCAGGTTAGATGAAAGATTGCAGAGACTTCAATCAGTGGACCTAAGTTGCATAGATAAACTGATCTGATTTTCTCCCTGTGACTTGGGAGAGCTTTCGGCCAAGAATAGCAGTACTCCCTTTCCCACTCTTAGACACCTGTGCAGTTAGTGGCTGCAGTCACAGCTGCTGTACCGAAAACTACAATACCCAGTCTCACTTGCATCTGACTGATATGACAGTGTTATTCCTAAAGGGCAAACTGGTGCTTTCATCCCTTCCTAGACCTGTTGCCTGGAATGTGGTGGTAATGGTGGCCAGCCTGACAATGATGATGGTGGCTATGTTCTCAGGACGGCAAAATGGGGAGCTTCAGTGGCACTGGTCCTGTTCCCAGGCAGAACCAACATAGAAGACATTGTTCACCTATGTTCACCTACCTCTGGACTTCCACACAATAGACAGTATACATTATGGTTATTAAATTACTACTATTTGGGATCATTGTTGCTGTAGAAGCTTATTTTTAAACTAATACAGCACTCTGTAGTATATTATAAAGGAGTATTGCATGTAGCAGAAATGGAAATATTAGTGTAACTAAGTTCAAGTTCTCAGGTAGCAGGTGGCAAAGTGCTCAGAATTTCAGAGACTAGAAATCTGGTAATACTTGTTTGGCAATGGAAATATTTCACTCATATTGACCCTATCTTAGCTTGAAAGCTATACCACCTACTGAGTAAGATTGTAGTATAAGGGGAAAAGGTTAGCATAAACTCAACATTTTGCTCTGGTTTAGACATCTCTGCTGTTTCAAGCAGAGTCTGACAGATATGAACTCCGGCTGGAGAGCACCCATGGACAGGCAGAGGTGTGAGAAAATGCAGCTGCTCCAGGAGGCCCTGTCTACACGCCAGCTTGATTGACTGAGACAGAGCTGATCTGGGTCCTTGGACGTTTGAAGTAGCCAAACCTCTGTGCCTGATGGAAATCCCTTGGGAATACGGATTCCAGATGATGGCCTTAGCAGAATTTAGCAGAAGTAAGACTGTATTCCCAAGGCTTTTTCCAGAACCTTCCATTTAGGATGGTCTGTCAGATGTCAAATCTAGCACAACAGCAAACTTCAAATGATGGATATGGCCCTTTTCCCAAACCAGTGATTTTCAAGTGGTGTGCTGCAAGAATTTTTAAAACATGCAATACCTCACTATTTAGCCAGGGGTACCTACTTCATTTCCCTTAGGTTGTCAAATAAAAATACAGCAACAGGCAACACAATAGCCATTCAATATGAATGAATCAAAATTATACTTTTTTTGTCAGATTGGTAAAAAATATATTCTTTGTTGTGTTGCAGAATTTTAGTAGTTAGTTTATATGTGCCATGAGATGAAAAAGGTTGACAGCTGCTGCCCTAAACCTTTGCTTCAGATGGTCCCAAGAGAGTCTCTACTACACAGGGGGAGGGCGTGGGGGGGAAGGGGAGGTGGATTCTTGCAGGGCTGCGGTGTGGACATAACAGCTGAGGTTTGGGTGCCAATCGTGGATGGTGCTCGTCCGTGATGTGGGGACGGTGAGCCACACGTAGTGAATGTGCAGAGGAGCTCGGGTCCCTGACGCTGTGGCTCACCCTATGCCCGCACAGTGATCTCCACACCTCCGGGCTTTTTATTTTTATAATCAATTTTTAATTTTTTTAAATTAAATTTTTTTCAATTACAGTTTGCATTCAATATTATTTTGTGTTAATTTCAGTTTTATAGTAAGTACAGTGAGTAGCTGGACAATCATATACTCTAGAAAGTATTCCCCCTGCTATTTCCATTACTCAACTGATACCATATGTAGTTGTTACAGTTTTACTGTCTACATTTCTCAGGGTTTACTTTACATCCCAGTGACTATTTTTTAACTATCAATCCGCACCTCTTAATCCCTTCACCTTTTTCACCCAGTCCCCCAACTTCCCACCCCTCTGGCAACCCTCAGTTTGTTCTCTGGATCAATGAGTTTGTTTCTGTTTTGGTTGTTCATTTATATTGTTCTTTAGATTCCACATATAAGGAAAATTGTATGGTATTTGTCTTTCTGTGACTGACTGATTTCAATTAGTATAACATCCTCTAGGCGCATCCATGCTCTTGCAAATGGTAAAATTTCATTCTTTTTTATGGCTGAGTACTATTCCATTACATGTACAAGGGTGGGTAAAATTAGGCTTACAGTTGTTCACAGGGGAAATAATATAATAATTAATAAATAAAAATACAAGAATAAACCGTGTTCTGTGTACTCAAAACTGTAACTCATAACAGTTCCCCTGGCTGGTGTAATTCTCACTGACAGAGTGAGCAAGTCTTGATGCAGAGAGACCAGCCGGCAGACTATCGCAGTGGCAGGGAACAGACGACAAGCGCCTGAACTAAGGCAGGAGCAGAGGGGAGGGTGGGGAGAACCTGCTTGTGACAGGTGAGAGACCGATTGGCCTGGATCTGGGGGGGCAAGATCCAGATTAATAATGGGGGGCAAGGTAAGAGATGCAGTGACATCCGAGGTAGAGCTTTATACCTGGGTTTCTGGCTTGGACATGTCGGAGGAAGCAAGGAGGAGGAACCACAGGCAGGGCCAGGGGCCTGCCAGGGAATCTGAAAAGTGTACTTGCTGTCTGGGGAGAGAACCTTTAAAAACACTGGTTACTTAGGGAGCGAGTCGTAGAAGAGGCCAGGAAGCAGACGACACCAGGACCAAGGGTAGAGAGGTTAGTAATATCAGTCATGAGAAGTAAATTAGGGAGAATAATATCCCCAAGGACATTTTCATAAAAATCATCGTGAAGTGATGGAGGTGGAAGCCAGGTGACGTAGGAGCCAGTGTGAGGTGAGGAAGCCGACAAGTTACTCTGGGCTTCGTTGTAAATGTTGCTCATGGAGACGAGAGTGGTCGCCAGAGTGGGGTGGAGGTTTTGGTGAAGCTTATTTGTTTTTATTGTCTTTAAGTTTCACATGCTCCGTTGTTTGCTTAGAGGATGCGGGGAGCAGCCCATGGTGAACAGGCGGACACCGGGTGAGCGGACCTCTGCGGAGGCCCTGCGTGGGCCGCACGGGCACTGATTTGCCTGAGCAGCGTCGCTCCTTCCTCTGAGGCTGAGAAGAAGAAGGGAGGTGGAGGCAGGAGTAAGTGCCTTTGAAGACAGTGGTTTGGGGGAACTGAGGGAATTTATATTTTGCAGCTTCCATCTTCTTGGAGAGGAAGGAAAGATCACCCTTGAGAAAGAGTAGAGGATGGGACTGTAGTGGGTGTGAGAGGAAGGTCTGAAAGGCCACCGTGGGGAAGAGGACAGAGGGGTGGCAGGGGTGGCTTTGCGTGGAGGGCCAGGGTGATTTCAGTGGTAGCCTTTGTAAAATGCAGGGATAAAGACCAAGTGAGGCAAACCAGTGTCTCGAAGCAGTAAGCGATGCTGTGGAGCTGAGGTGTCTTACCTCCACCGTCACCGCTTCCGCTGGGGCTGATCCACAGGATGGACATCTTCGTGCACAGTACTGCACGGGCACCGATGATGGAGCCTTCGCCCCTATGGCCTGCAAGCAGCTGCCCCAAGGGATTCCAACGACTGGTGCACTTGTAATTGGTTTGCTTTCCAGTTTGTTAGTACACTTATTGAAAAAAAAAAAAAAAAAGGGAATCCAGCCCAGTTGTGGTCTGTTCAATGAAAGCAAAGGGAAACTGTTCAGCATCTTAGAAGGGCAGTGAGGTGGGGGATACTTGGATGAACCTAAAATAGGCCACTGCCTGGGAATGTTGAAGGTGCTGCCATCGAATCTCTTCCCACAAACATTCCGCGTGGAATGTCTTGCTTCACATTAACCTCCATTTGGTGGCCCCAATGCTGTCATGTTTCTACCAAGTGCTTATTCTTAGTTAGAGGTTGGAATTAGGTTTTTGTTTTTGTTTTTAAGCATTTCTAATTTGCCCTAACTCCAAGATTCTAAATGAGTTTATTTGACAAACTGTGACCACCTCAGCTTTAGGATATTGAGGGGTATACAGATTTTATCTGTGGCCTGGATTTCCTTTTCTATCTTGGCATCAGTATGGATTGGAAATTTGTTGTACCCTACTCCCTCCCCCCGCCGCCCCAATGCCTGTGTTGAAGCCCTGACCCCAGTGTGCTGGTATTTGGAGGTGGAGCCTGAGGCAGGTAATTGCAGTTAAATCAGGTCTTGAGGTGGGGACCTCAGGATGGGAGTAGTGAGTTTATAGGAAGAGGGAGAGTCAGATCTCTTCCTGCCCACAGAGGAAAGGCCACGGGAAGACACAGTGGGAGGAGAGCTCTCTGCAGAAACTGAGTCAGATTAGCGCCTTGATATTGGACTTCTGGCCTCCAGAGCTCTGAGGAAAATAAATTTAAGTTACCTGGTCTGTGGTAATTTGTAATGGCAGTTGCAGCAGACCAATGCAACACCACAATGTAAAAACCAGCCAACCAACCAAATAAACAAGCAAAAAAGGGCATGGCCATGCATTTTTTTACCCAGCCAAACTCTTCATAATGTTAAAACGTCTTAGTTCTTGAGCAGCACAGTGACCGCGGCAGCCATTGGATGCCATCCTGGAGGGTAATGTACCCTATCCTGGCACACAGCCCTGGCCTTTTGGCCTTCAGTGTCTTAAGGCTTCCCGAGGCTCTTAATCATGGAGTTATTAGGGTTAACTGTCAGATGGAAAATTGTATGAAACACATGCTGAGAACACTTGTTCCCAAGTGGTATTAAATCACCTTGTTACTTATTACCCTCTCGAATCCTCTAATTTACATGTGGTCTCTTCTCACAGGAGCACTTCAAGTAAATCTGAATCCGTTTAGACAACTTTATGGGTACTGTAAAACCACAGCTGAATTTCAGGCCTTTGTAATAGTCCAGCCAAGATGCTCTCCAATTAGAAATAATTGCTGTTAATGCTGTTACGCGGGGTGGATGCCCACTATGCCTCACATCTTTGTTCTACTAAAATCCCCTAAGACTCTCTTCTTTCTTCTTCAGCTAAATGGACAGGCCCCTAGAATATACGCTTTTGGAATTGTAATATAGGAGCAATATTGTGCGTCTCTGTTAATGAACCTTGTTAACCAAGGATTTGGAACATCAGTGGGCTAGTCTAAGAGGGCCTTTTCATCCTCTCAGTGCACATCTACAGCTGAGCAGGATGTCACTTGTGAAATAAGATGCCTTTTATTCTTTGGCATACACCAAATAGCTTTATTATTCTTTGAGTAATGATGTAATGTTCTTGATTTATGAAATGTATAAACTGGTTAGCTTCATGCCAGGCACAGTAAATATTAGCTATCATTTTTATTATCATAAAACTAATTTTTTAAAAAGACTTTCTGAATGGAAACACAGGAGCAGAGGTGTCAGAATCATACAGACAGCTCAAGATAAATCAGTGCACAGCGGATTCCAGACTCCACACTCCTGTTGCTGCTCTGAGAGCAACTTACCCCCAAGATATTTAAACTCTTTGACTCTCACAGGGTCTTTCAAGGCACCCCCTCATCCCTTCCTGCTGCCCACACAAAAGAAGGTAAGAGACAAAGGCTGCTGTTTTTCTTGCAAGGCAGGTGCTTCATCCAGCCTGGGAAGGCCTTCCAGGGTATGGTAATTAACACAGTCCTGTTAATCTTGTTTTTATGGTGAATCTCAAAAGCATGAAAGCAGTTGGCCAGTTGATTAAACTGTAAGAATACAATCAATCTGAAATGAAGGAAGCACCCATGAATACAAATGCATAAAATCGTCTGTCCTCTGGAAAAATACATGAATCCCAACTTGAAACACCAAACACTTGAAATTGAACACATGTGTTTTCTGGATTTAGGGGTGGCATTTTAATTCAGTAGAATGTCATTTTTGGAGTAAGAAGCAACCAGTCTTTGATCTCTTTTAGGAAAAAATGGATCCCATCGAGAGTTTGATCTATGGTCACTGCCTACTAGGGATTTCAGGGAATGGCCAGGAAGGGTCTCTTGCATGGCACCTGATGTACCTTCAGTGGGACTGCACCTACTGTGTGAGCGTCCAGGGTGTGTGGACGTAAGTGTTTGTGTGGCTACTTTGGAAAGAGGGACATAGGAGGCTGGCTTTTTCTAAACCAGGGGACACACGGAGGTTCAAAAACACCAAGGCCGAGAGCAAGGTGATAGGAAATCCAGAGTTCTGTGTCCTCTGGAGAGGGTACTCCAGCTAAACACTCATCATGTGAAAAGATTCTTTCTCTCATATCTGTTGCAAGCAGAGATGAAAAAAAAGAGCTGTTTTTTATTAATTTTAAAAAACTCAACATAAAAGCAGATAGCGATATTACTGGTATTTTCAAAAGTATTGATGGAAAATACTAGTCCAGATAGAACAAGGATGATACTCAAAGTCTCCAGGTATACTCTATCAGACAAAAATCCTTTTCTTCATTGAAATAAGCAATGTGTAGCACTGGGTATCAGATGACATCAGCAATAGAGTTCTTCCTCTTTGGTTTTTAGTTCTTTTTCTTTCCAACGAAGCCATTCATTACACTGAAGATGCCCATATATTCAACCAAGAGCAGTCCTATCTTGTTGGGCAAGATACTAAAGAGAACACAAGAGGAAACATTCTCAGTTATTCATAAAAGCTTCTTTATCAGCACAGCTGAAAAGCAGTGCCAGACCAGTCACAGACGGATTCATACATGCACATGTCACGCCTCAGGGTCACCCTGGGCTTGTCTACTACGTTGGGAGGACACTGGCACAGGATCTCTCTCCCTCCTTGCATTATTTACATTATTCAACTCACTTCTCGTGTCCATTTCCAAAGCGACCTTACACTATGTAGTGATTGACAAGAGGCAGTGAAGTCTTGAGGAGCTGGGTGAGCCTGATGGAAACCTGGCTGTCATTTACAATGTCATCTCAGGCAAGTTACTTACACGTGAGCCTCATTTCTTCCAGTGTAAAGCAAAGTCATCAGTTCTTCTTTCTGGGACCACTGTGAGAATTAGATGCAGTAGCTCCTCAAGTGTTTGGCAAGACCCAACCAAGACTGGTCACCTATTCCACCCTCACCTGCCCCTCCTAACAGAGCACTCCGATCCCCTCAATTCCAATGAGGAGAGGCACAGCAAACAGAGCTGGCACAGTAAATCTGAGACTTGAACCAAGGGCAGGGTAAAGGACCTGTGCTCGCTGTTTTTCTGGGGACACCCCAGGAAATCTGGGGGGGTTCCTACGTTCCCCAGTTTCAGGTCTCCTGTAAATGTTACCTTCTCCATGAGACTGTCCCCGAGTGCCACACTGAAAATCACATCTCAGCTTGTTGGATATCCTTTTCCTGCTTTATATTTCTCTGTAGCACTTATGACCACAGAGCACAGAGCATACCTTTTTTCTTTTTTTACTTTATTGTTTTTTGTTTGTTCCCTGTTCCTTACCCTCTGGGAAGATAATTTCCATAAGGGCAGGGACAGTTGTCTTTCTTGCTCTTTGCTGTAACCCCCGATCCTAGGACGGCCAGCAATGGATGGCACACACCAGGCACTCTCTAACGCTTCTGGGGTGAACATTTGAAGGAGTGTGTGCTGTGATCCCCTTCACCAAACTTCTTCACATTTCCAAAGTCTTCTTGAAACTAGGTAATTCTCTCTCAATTCAGGGCTGAGAACTAATATCCTATCAAAGTAAATGTAAACCCTATACTTATTTTAAAAATTAGAAAAAATGCAGTCCCATGTTCTTTACAATCGGCATTACTAACTTCTGTTGACGAGTGTATCCACTGTACTGTGAACACACACAGTGACTGTCAGTGACAGTCACTGATTCACAGCTACTCATTACAGTCACTCATTCACAGGCTGTCACAGCATTGACTTCCACATCTTAAATGAACATATTGGACCCACAGAAAAAATGGTCAGAGTCACAGACTTGGTAAACAGCAGGGTTATAACTCCAGATTTCAGTCTCCTTGCCCAAGACACTGTGCCCCGCCCACATGGCCTCAGTCAGCCCTATTGGTCAGCACTTCTGTGCGAGATGAAGTGTGAAGAAGTAAAGGGATGATTTGGGGTTCATTGTACAAAGTCAGTACAATTAGCTAAAGAGAAAAAACATGATCTTATGCAGGAAGAGCAGTGGCTGTTAGCCATGTGATGGACACAAGGCATGAGATCTGTGTTCAAACAACTGAACAATTGTTGCTGTCAGGAGCAATGGAACCACTGGAAGTTTAAAATGAGACAGATTTTAACTCCACAGAAGGGAGAGGTTCAATAACCCAACGTGCTTCCTTGCAAAGCAGAAACCCTTGCTGGGGGGAGTGTAACAAGATGACCTGTTACAACGTAGAAAATGAACTGAGACCTGGGAATCAGCAGTTGCTTCGGGCAGTTTGGCACTGCTGTTCCTGTTACTGGATCAAATGCTCATAAATGGCAGGTGAGGTACCTCAGCACTGAAACGCCATGGAAAGCAGAGAAGGAGGGGCAAAGATGCTGTCATGTGCTTTTAAGAGGTGGTTATCTTTTCAGAGATTTTTCTCCCAAGTCTGTAACCATCTTAAGCACAAATTTATTCTCTATTGCCAGTTTTACCCCTGCCATGAGCTCCTGAAATATCTGGCTTAGCGTGTGGTCTTGACTTTGTGCCCTGCACTCAAATAAGCATGGACACAATAGCTATTCTGACACCTTTCTCCCTGGCTGGCATTAGAAAAAGCTTCTCTCCTAAAAAAATAGTAATTTCGATTTGTCTACAGATCATTCAGTGAATCCAGTTTTAGAATGTTTTTATATTAGTTCTATAATTTTATTTTTCAAATGGTATTTGTCTTTGAAGCATGGCTGAGAGAGTTGTAGCTAAAATAAAGTGGGGTCCAATATTTTGTAACAATATTTCCTTAGTGTTTTAAGATCTCTTAAAATTTATAACACAAACTATTGAATCATCTTCCATCCTGTCATTAATTTCTCACACTTTTATAAGTATTGAATGCCTCCTTTTTTTGTCAGGATGGAAGCTGAAAATACACAACAGTGAGCAGAAACCAACTGGCCCCTAATCTCAAGGAACTTGTGGCCCAGTGGGGAGACCTCACAAAGAAATGTACAATGCAGCTGTGAGGTGTTCAAAGGAGGCCAAGGTCAGGTGCTAGGAGAGTGTGCCCTGGAGCCATTTGGGATATTCTGGGAAGCCAGGGAAAGAATGCTCACGCCAACAGAGGACACGGCATGTGCAAATGCCCTGGACTATTTCCAGGACCAAGGAGTCTGCCAGTAGGCTGAGCAGAGGCAGGGAGAGGAAGGGCGTGGCAAATGAGATGGGAGAGGCCAGTGTCAGGCTACATGGCTTTTATACAATTATAATCCAGGCCTCACCCACGAAGATTCTGATTCATTTAGAGGAGGGACTAGGGAAAGACATTTAAAAAAATCTTCCAGGTAAAGCAGCCAGGGTTGAGATTCATTAGCCCAGGATATTTGATTCTTAATCTAAGGGCTATAGGGAACTACTCAGTTGTTGATAGCGAGGATGACATCCAGATACACATCTTGTGTCACTAGGCTGCCTGCAATGTCTAAATCCAGTGAAGAAAAAAGGAAGCCTTTTTTTAAAAAAAAGCATTTAGCCCTGGCTGGTGTAGCTCAGTGGATTGAGCACGGGCTTGCGAACCAGACAATCGCGGTTCGATTCCCAGTCAGGGCACATGCCTGGGTTGCAGGCTAGTTCCCTGCAGGCCAATTCCCAGCAGGGGACGCATGAAAGGCAACCATACATTGATGTTTCTCTCCCTCTCTCCTTCCCTTCCCCTCTACAGATAAATAAATAAAATCTTTAAAAAAAAAAAGCATTTAAATAGCTTTCAACTTTATAAAACCCACCTTTTTAAAAAAGGTAAAAAGAGGCAACAATAGATCTGCAACAGACGCGCAACCGAGGTATTCTTCAGAATCTCTGGCATTAGAGGTTCAAATTCAAATACAGTGGTGACAATTTAATTCCAAGTCTTCAAAGGACTTTATATTTGTCCTCAGAAATTTCTCATCCTATATCATGGAAGCATCTTCTTTTAAAGTGAAAACCTTATAGTCACCTATAAGCTTTATTTAAAAAAATGTTTCCATAAAGCACTGCAGATTACAGACATTTTTCTGATTTCAATAACTTTGTTGCACTAGGGAATTTGTGACAGAATTGTGTGATACCTTCCAAAATAAACAGCCTTCCAAAGAAGTTAGTTTGCTTATATTTAAAGTGTTTCCGTGATATCTTATTTGATCCTTACGGTGATGCGGTGAGGAAATGGAGGAACAAAGACATTAATGACTCCTTCAAGGTCAAGTCAGAAGTAAGTCTCGGTTCTCCTGACTTCTAGCTTCACGGCCTTCCCCTGAAGGGCCCCCCACACCTCATGCATGAATCCACTCCTTTTTTTGACAATAATGCTAAGAAGGCTGGCATGATCCAGCTCCATTTTCTAGACCCCTGGTAGGCACAGCAACTGCAAATTTGATGTTACGTCAGAAAATGGACACAAGGAAGGAACCATTTAACAGATAAGTGTTAAGTGGCTTCTCCTAGTACGATTTGGAATAAATTGTTGATTGATACACTAGAGAAGTCGTAGGAGCTAATAGTTACCTTTTTAGAAACACCATGAAGTATATAAACCTTGGTATATACAAGTACGTTTTTTCCTGCAGGATAGCATCTACTATCTTTCGGACTACGTATTCTGGCTCCAAAATTGGTAACAGAGAAGGACAGCTAGGAGGTAAACAAACAAACAAACAAACAAATAAACAAAGTTAACAAATCAATAAAAACAATTCTTGTATACTGAGGATAAAAAGATTGTAAGACATTATCATTTATTTGCTTCTTTCACTTCCAGATTTGATCTATTTATTCCCTTATTAACAAAATGGTACTAACTAGAATATGAGATGGAAAATATGGAAAGTGATGATTCTAATTGTGCAGTGGGGTACAATATGCATACATGTAAAACCATACTAAAACAAGGTCTAATTATAAAGCAAGACTCTGCAAACTAATTTCCTGTCATCTCCATGAGATGCAGAATGGGGCATCTGTGTCCCTTCACTGATTTCCAGTCCTTCGGTGGAATCAGGGAAGAGGGCGGAAAGGAGGCTGGGTGGCAGGAAGGGAATGTGGCTGACTGCTGGGGACCCGGGTGAGCAGATTCGGGCTACCACGTGGCTACGAGTGGGACACAGCTTTGATAAACCATTCCCACTAAACTCAGCATCCTAAACACAAATGTGTTCCGGCAAAAAGTAAATTCTGAAGCCATTTATAAATCAGGCTGAATCCCCACAACACCTCTTTTTACACAATTTAAAAAAACAGGTAGAAAAAAAATAAAATAGATTAACAGATTATTTTCTAAAATGCAGTTTCTTGAAATTACAGGACATACTTACTCAGTAGTACAACCTTCAAACATTCCAGTTTTTATAAAAAATGGGCACACAATAGTGGTTTTGATCCCTGTTATTTTCTGAGCAGATAGTTCCATAAATATAGATTCAGCAAATCCAAAGGCTGCAAACTTACTTGCACAATAATCTGAAAAAGACAAACAATGCTGATTTATATTCTGCAGTTTAAAAACTGGCATTACATGCAGGTGTCCTCATAACACCAACCAACAGAAAATGGGTGAGCAGGGAGCCTCTGATGGCCACAGTGCTAGACCGTACTTTCGAGTTAATGCGTGGTCAGACAGTGGGCTGGCTCATATGTGGGGCACACGGTGTGTCCAGTCCCTGCCCCAAAGAACTTCCACCCAAGTGGGCAGGAAGACACACAAAAGAAGAAATACAGTAAGTGACACAGGAGGCTAAGCAAAGGAGGGCAGCGTGGGTCATCACACTCAGACTGAATTTCTTCTAACTATAACTCTCCCACTTCCAGAAGAAAAACAAAGGACTCAGTAGCTCAAATCTCAACCTCTTAAATATCTTAAAAATGCAGGGGGAGGCGAAAGTGGCATTTATGTCAGTTTAGAGCTTGCTGTCTTCAATCACTCATTTCAAGTAAACACTGGAGTATTCAATTCACTGAATGGAAAGTCTGGAGTAGAAAAGGCATTTGGGTGGATTTCTCCTTTCCTGTCCCTCGCATGATCAAATGAGGTATATGCACTGGCTCTGTGGAGGAGCAATGACCACAGCTGGCAGGAACCAGGCTGTAAGTGCCAGGTGTGGGGCTGTCGGGCCCACTGCTGCCTAAGGCAGAAGGAGGGAGGGGAAGGGAGTTCGGATCAGCCTCTAGGATCATGGGAGTCATCTGGTCTAAATGCAGCTCAATAACCTCAACTCCTAGGATTATGATGAGCAGATGTGGCCCAGGACCAGGGAATCTGTATTCTAAATAACAACTTTGGCAGTTCTGATGCAGGGGAGCCAAGACGTCTACTGTGGGAATTACAAAGGCCTCTACTTGTTTCCAAGGTCAGCTGTGGGTGGAAGAGTCCAGCTGAAGACAGAGAGACTATGTCAGAAAAAGGATTAACAGAAGCTGTAATAATAATACTACAGGTAATACTATACCTGTATTATTTCGAAGTTTCATCATTTGTCAGGTGAATAGGAGAGAGAGGTAATACTAATATGTGATGATTTCTAAGAATGACAGAACAAGGGCAGTCCAGGGTACAGGGAGATGTGTTTAGACTGGTATCAGTTTGAGTGACTGATATCAGTTTGAGTGACTGGTGGTTCTGAAAAACCTATTCACATAACTGAGATGAACTGTGCCTAGGCTGGTATTGTGAATCTTGAATGATGCCACTCAGCTCAAAAACATAAGCAAGTGCCCAATGGGCAAGCTGACCAAGGTTACGAGTGTTGCAGCTAGGCTTTCTGATGCATTAGTCTCAGGGATCTGTGTCGGCCAGTACACAGGACGTTGTTCCAGAGGATGCCCTGGTAGGGAATGACAAGATTTCTGCTGCTCCTAGAGCCAGCTCCTGAGTTGGACTGCCTTCTTTGCCCCCTCCCCACTGCTAATGTCAAGTCATTTGCAAGGGAGGTAGAAATGACAAGTACTTTGTGCAAGTCTTCCAATCAGTGGGAAAGCAAAGTGGGAAAGCTGAGGTTCCTTGGGGTGGAGAAATTATCTCTAAACTGACAGCAGGGGGAGACTTCAGAAGGCAGAGTGGTCAGTCTTACCATCCTGATGACAGTGCCTGGCGATTTGGGGGATGGTGACGATGCTAATCACTTGTGTAAAAACATTCATCAGTAAAGTCTATCTCTCTCTCTTTTTTTTTTTAACCCAGAGGACTGCATAAGACCTAATGATTCCAAAGTGCATATACTTCAACTATGGATAAGTATATACAATGGGCGGTTTTGAGGCATTATTTAGTTCTCAACCACTTCCCTCATTGAATACACTTCTTCATTTATTATCTTTATTATTGGTGCAGGTCAAAGCTGATTACTCACAGCTATTATGTAAGTTAAAGTTAGAAAAAAGTGCAAATGTGGGGGGTCTGAACTGCATGACCAGTGATATGATAGGGGAAGAAAGGTTACCCCGGGGGCGAGGTCCTTGTTTCTCCGGTTGTGTCGACTGCTAGGCACCTGGGACTTTCTGCCTGGCTGACCTTCTGTACCTGGCCCCATTGTCCTTGCTCTGCTCATGTCTACCAGCCTGGGCCCTGGAAGTGGACGATAGGTAGAGGTTTGAATCTTAGCACCATAACCTACTAGCTATGGAAGTCGGCTGCTACTGCCATCGTGTGAAATTTCTCCAAATTGAACTAATGAAGAATGATATAAGAGCTAGATCTCCAAGGTGACGGTATAGGCAACCATGGCTCGGCTCTTCACACAACCACATAAAAATTACAACTAAACTTTAGAACACCCACTACTCAGAACTGCCAGAAATCAAGTTGAATGGAGGTCCTGCAACCATGAAATTAAAAAAGAAACCACATCCATCCAGACTGGTAGGAGGGGTGGAAATGCAGAGATGGGGAACGGCTGATCACACACCCATGTGTGGCTGATACAGATCAGAGGGATGGTGGGAGTGAGGGGTCCCAGCCCCACACCAGGCCCCCAAGCCCAGGGTTCCGGGGCCAGAAAGAGAAATCCCTGTGGCTTGTGGCTGTAAAATCCAGTATAGATTAAGTAGGTGGTAGAAGCTGCTGGATTCCCAGGCAGTTCATCTTAAAGGACCTGTAACTGGACTTACTCAGACTCCTTCCCTTGGAGCTCCAGCACCAGGGCAGCAGCTTGAACGGTTACCAGTGGCATGCAGGAAGGAACTGACGTGTCTGGCGTCAGGGCAAGAGCTGGGGGACAGCTTTCTCTAAGTGGACAGAACAGCTGGCAGAGGCCACTGCTCCTCTTCTCGGTTCTCCCTGACAGAGGCACCGGGAGCACCACACCGGAAACTCCATCAGCCTGGCTCACACGGTTTGCCCCACCCATCTTATGGGCCTATCTAAGTGGTTAACGGTGGCTTTTCTATAAGAATGACTAATCTTGGCTCCTGCTTGTGATCTTCCTAAATCCTCTCATAGAAGCAGCAGCTGGCCTCGGCAAGTCCCTGTGCTTTGCTAAGTGGCTCCAGGTCTGGCACTAGCAGCACCGCTTCACAGCCTGGCCTTGCTACGGCACTTCAAAGCCCAGCAAAAGAAGCAGTCGGCTGCTGATCACTTTACAGCTTGTACCAAGTGGCCCCCGACAAAGGGGGTATGGGGGCCCTGCTGAAGTAAGCTCTGCTCTGTGGAGTGGGATACTGCATAGCTGATCCTCCACGGAGGGTGGAGGCTGGTGGTCCGTGGCCACAGCCAGTCCTTACAACTAACTGGTTCAGTTAAATCCCTCCCATTGACCTGTCAACAACAATCAGAGCTCAATTATAAGGGGAGCTCATTGTACTCAGCCCAATGAAGGATGCACCTTGAGTTCCCAGTGTGGGTGATCAGGAGGCTGTGCCACTGGACCCTACAGTACTCCTTCTGCATTAGGCCATGCTCCCAACACAGGGAGTCACAGCAGCCCTACCTAACACACAGAAACAAACACGGGGAGGCTGCCAAAATGAGTAAAGAAACCACGGTCCAAATGAAAGAACAGATCAAAACTCCAGAAAAGGAACTACAAATGGAGATAAGCAATCTTTCAGATACAGAGTACAAAACACTCATTACAAGGATGCTCAAGGAACTTAGTGAGTACCTCCACAGCATAAAACAGACCCAGTCAGAAATGAGGGATATACAAACTGAAATAAAGAACAATCAACAGGGAATCAACGGTAGAGTGGATGAAGCTGAGAATTAAATCAGTGATTTGGAACATAAGGAACAAAAAACAACTAACCGGAATAGCAAAAAGAAAAAAGAATCTACTCTTCCAAAAAAAAAAAAAATGAGATAGTGTAAGAAGCTTCTGGGACAACTTCAAGCATTCCAACATTTGCATCATAGGGGTGCCAGAAGGGAAAGAGAAAAAGCAAGAAATTGGAAAGCTATTTGAAAAAATAATGAAAAAAATACCTTCCCTAACTTGATGAAGGAAACAGACATACAAGTTCACGAAGCACGGAGTGACAAACAAGATGGACATAAAGAGACCCACACCAAGACACATCATAATCAAAATGCCAAAGGTGAACGATGAAGAGAGTATCTTAAAAGTAGCAAGAGAAAAGCAGGTAGTTACCTTCAACAGAATTCCCATGAGACTATCAGCTGATTTCTCAAAGGAAACTTTGCCAGCAAGAAGGGATTGGCAAGGGATAATCAAAGTGATGAAAAGCAAGGACCTACAACCAAAGTTACTCTATGCAGCAAAACTATCATTTAAAATTGAAGGGCAGATAAAGAACTTCTCAGGCAAAAAAAAAAGCTAAAGGAGCTCATCATTTATTATATGAAATGTTAAAGGACTTATTTAAGAAAAAGAAGATCAAAACTATGAACAATAAAATGACAATAAATACATATCTATCAACAATTTAAGCTAAAAACCAAACCACACAAATAAGCAGAACAGAAACAGAATCGCAGATAAGGAGAATGGTTCAATGGCAGCCAGAAGGGTGGGGGCACTGGGGGAACAGGTGAAGGGATTAAGAAGCACAAGTTGGTAGTCACTGAATAGTCTTGGGGATGTGAAGTACAACATAGGAAATGGGGAAGCCAAAGGTCTTATACGCATGTCCATGGACATGAACAAAGATATGGGGACTGCCTGAGGGAGTGGGGGGTGCTGGGTGGAGGGGGGCAAAGGGGGAAAAGCTGGGACAACTGTAATAGCATAATCAATAAAATATAATTTTTAAAAAAGTGCAAATGAGCCCTGGCTGGTGTAGCTCAGTGGATTGAGCGCAGGCCTGCGAACCACACGATCGCGGTTCGATTCCCAGTCAGGGCACATGCCTGGGTTGCAGGCCGGTTCCCAGCAGGGGACGCACAAAAGGCAACCATACATTGATGTTTCTCTCCCTCTCTCCTCCCCCCCCTTCCCCTCTAAAGATAAATAAATAATAAAATATTTAAAAAAAAAGTGCAAATGTGAAATGTTACATTTTTTCTTACCTGCCAGTCCATTTACTCCAAGTAATCCAGCTGAACTTGAAATGCAAACCAAATGTCCATGGTTATTAGCAATCATAGCAGGCAGAAAGGCTTTATAAGTCTAAGAAGAGCAAAGTAAAATTTTTAATACTTTCTACCACATTTTACACTTTTTCAGATATTTATATGATCATTGTGATTAAAAATTTTTTTAAGCTGATAAAAATACCTGAAGGCAGGGGGTGTATAAAAGCTTAAACATCTGGAAAGTAACCATGTTAACTTGCTTAGCTATTAAATCGGTGTTTTCCGCATGGCATACTAATATTATTACAAATCACTTATTCAGACTTATATTTGACCTTTATTTTTCATTTTATTACTTTTTAATTATATCTCCTCAAGAAAACATAACACTACAGATTGTCTATTACAGCCTATGGAGAACTTCATTCTTGGGCCACAGCATCAAGAGCTCCTGGTTTCGGTCCCATAAGTCATATTTGACTTTAAAAAACACAGTATCGAGACAGTAGTTGAAGCAGTACAGGAGAATCTTAGTTGTGGCAGCCACAGTCCAGAAAGGAAAAAATATGATTATTTAGATTATAATCAAGAATAAGATTATTTAGGCATATATCGTCTTTTTTCCCCCTGGAATCATATTTGAATTTCAAATTTTTCTGAATAGTGTTCACATACTGTTGTTGGTTTCAGTTTAAAAATACCGCTGTGTTTTAAAATTTATCTCTACTTTCTCAAATAATAGTTTCTTAATATTATTCCATGTCATAAAAAGAGATGATCTGTTAGAAAGAGGGGACCGAGGACTACGGGACACCTTCCCCTTTGGTGTGGGATCAGGAGAAAAAAGATAAAGGAGCGAGCATGAGCTTTGGGAGATATATTCTGCAACAAAAAAACAATAACCAAATATTTGTTTCCTAATGTGAATAAATACGAGAAAAGGGATGTCTTATAAAAGTCAACCAATGTTTGTCTGTCTGCATCTTGAGTTTCAGAGAGAACTTAACATGTAGAGAGAGATGAAAAATCAAAACAAGCAGCATGGTGAAATACTCTGGCTTCTGCTATGAGTCACTTCACTTCTCCCCTTGTGGACATTCCCCTTGAGACCCTTGTCACCATGGGCTCTCTGACCCTCTAGCAAGTAAGTGCTTACCCCATGTAGGTGCGCAAAGAATGTACACAGACTTGCCCAGGAAAAGTATGCAGAGTGTGAGGATGTGAGGGGTGGGCAAGGGCCAGGAGAGCATCAGTATTTCAGGAACAACTAGGAGAAGAAACCATGAAAGCAGAGAGGTGGGAAAAGAATACGGAAGCCACAGGAGTGGGGACTTTTAAGGACATTGTCTTTATCTTCATTCTGACCACATCTTCTGACTGCACCGTGATGCAGCAGAGGGGCACGTGGGACAAGACAACAAAAACCACTTGCAGCAGTTCCTGAAGGAGCATGGTGGCCACTTTTTCCATCTTTCTCCTGAAAACTAAAGAGAACACCAACAATATCCCAACAATACCACCATTTTTGGTGAACCTAGGGGACAGAAAACCTACAAATTCCAAATTGCATTTTTAAAAAATCTTCACCTGAGCATACCTTTACTGATTTTAAGGGGTGAGGAGAGAGACAGAGAGAAACACTGACTAGTTTTCTCAAATACACACACTGACCAGGGACTGAACCCGCAGCCTAGGTATGGGCCCTGATGGGTAATCAAACCTGCAACCTTTTGGTGGATAAGGTCATGCTCCAACCAAATGAACCATCAGGCCAGGGCTCCAAATAAAATGTAAAGGCTGTCAGAGGAGAGTTGGGTGGAGGTCCATGTGGAGAGGTGGCCCAGGGAAGGATGAGCTGTGAGTGGCAGGGGAACAAAATGACTCAAGGGCTGGGAGAGGCAGCATGAGGGATGTGCAGGGACACTGCCAAGAAAATGCAACTTCTGAAAGTGAGCGCATCACCTTGGGTGTCAGTGGCTGCGTCCCCTGATGTCCACAGCGTGTAGTCAAGGCTACTGCTAGGAACTCTCCTTTCCCTAGTGAGGTGCTGAGTCAGGTAACGGAATGTGTGGTTTGCCCAGAACAGACCTGATTAATGCTTGCTTAATAAGACTGCCCCATTATATTTGCAAAAGAGTTCTGCCTTAGGCAAATGACAAGGTCACCCTGGTCATGTGTAAGTGCTGTCACTTGCTATGTAGCCTTGAGCAAATCTTCTCACTTCTGTGATTCCTTTTTCACTGAGGCACCCAGGATAGTGCTTGGCGATGAATAAATGACAGCGTCTACGTAGGGCTTCCTGGGCAGAGGCCCTGGGAGGTAGGGGTTGAGTTGGATTCAGAGGAGATAACTGGTAGACCAGGATAATCTGAAATTGAGAAGACGGTGCTTTATTCAGAGGATACTATTTATTAGGAGAAGAAAAAATAATTACCCATAGATGTGCTTTGAAATTCACATCGAAAGACTTTTCCATAAGCTCATCTGGGCAATTGAGGAACTTTTTGCCTGTTACGATCCCAGCATTGTTGATTAGGATGGTCACGTCACCAACTTCTTTTTTAACCTGCGTTGAGAAACAAGAGTGACACCATCAATATAGTAACTCCTTATATGATGCAGGTTTACTTTCCCCCCAATTGTATACTCCTCTTATCCTTGTTAACAGAGACGGATTTATGCAGCCTGAAAACACAGCATGTTTTATTTCCTTTGCTGAGTGTACAGTGCCTCAGAGATCCAAGTTTGATGCTCTTCTTCTGATTTCTTCCTTCCTTATACTCCAACACTGCAGTGCTGCTTTCCTTCTAGATGTAGAGCTATTATACTCAGTGAATAGTACCTTTGTTCTGTGCTCTAAGTAGCATGTCACTTTAATCCATGTGATGATGTGATGATGGCCGTTACGACCATGCCACATAAATCGAGACCTAGCACACACAGAGCTCGGGTGCTGTAGGGAGTGACAGGAGGAAGTGTGATATTCATATCTATGCTTTAAACACACAGAACCTGTCTGCTCAGTTTTTATCAACTGACTGGTTTCTCTCTCCTTCCCACTAACTTCAAGGCCTAAGGTATGTGAAGAGAGAAACCGAGTAGGCCCGTTTGCTGCTGTAACGCTGGCTAGAGTAGGTACCCGATAACTTATTTAAGAAGTAAAAATTCTGCATGGGACACTGCAGGCTTCCGCTCAGAGCATATCTTCAGTGTGTAGCCCTGGCTGTCATGTGAGCAACCAGCAGAGGATTTTCCAGGACTGACGCCAGGCGATGGTGCTGTTCCCTTGCTCCTCGTTGTGGTTTAAATTTCATTACTGTAATTCGTATCACATGGCAGGAACCCTGTCCCCCAAATTCAAGAAGAGTGTTGGTGGCAGTCACGCACTGCCAGGGGGCTTGCTGCTGACATCCCCACTTTTGCATGTGAGTATGTGCATGCCTGCATGTGTGGGCACCTGCCTACATGTGTGTGCACCTGCCTGGATGGGTGGTGCAGTTTGGTGTGGGGGAGGATGGGTCCCACAATGAGGGTGACATGTGTTAGGTATTTACTAGCCAACAAGGTCTACAGTCTAGAAAATATTTAGGATGAAATGGAAACAAAGGAAATCTCACTTCCATGTTAGAGTTTTCAGATCAAAGCACTGAAAATAACCCAACAGAGTCTGATTTGGAGAGTGGTTAAATATCTATCGTCAAATCCAAGTTGAATAGCAGTCAAGGCTAGAAACAAGGTAAGCCTTACCAGAGGCAGAGTAAAAGCTGGGACAGGTTTGTGGGCTAGAAGACCGCAGTAGGTTAGAGGCTGATGTCCTAACCCAGAGTCAGGACGGCCAAGCTAGAAGTTACATCTAAGAGAGAAATAACAGGGCCGTGTGTCCCACCGCCACCTCCCCTACAAATACAGCATGTCAGGACACACGCAATGACGTAAGTATCGGACTTTAATTTCAAAGTTTTATTATCCATGAAGGTTTTACTATCCATGGCTTACATGTCTGCAGTATATAAAAACTGTATATTTGTGATTCATACTGGAAACATACCAGACAAAGCATTTGTGACAGGATTTTTCATGTGAATAATCTTCCTCCCTTTGATTTATCTATTTTGTATATAGGGTTATCTTTTTATTTTTAAGAATTATTTTGCTCGCAAGTGTACTTTTCCCCTTTAACTTAAGTATGTACTTTCCTCTAAAAGGCAAGGCCTCAGCCTCTGCTACATTAGGGAGGAAAAGGATCAGGTCTAACTGTGTGTGACCTAACTATATTTTTAACTATTGCCGACTGGTGAGATATCACAATGGAACGGTCACCCTGAGCTGAGTATGAGTTTGTTGGTATTGTGTTGTTTTATAAGGGACAAAGAGGTAACAACATCTAAGGGAGAAGGCAACAGATTCTAGTTTTATATCAGTTTTCCTTTTTTGCATTCATCATTCTCCTTGTTGTAAGAATGTGGCAACCGTCTATTCAGCCCTGGGTCACAACCCTGGGAAGATTTGCACATGAGCTGTGCCCACTTGCTGGCAGGGATTTCTCTGTGTGCACTCACACGATGGCAACAGAAACTGCAGCAAGACTGAGCATGTCAGTGTCTAACACCACACTGCCTGGGACGGCTGATTGGAATTTCCCAACCACTACTTATTCGTCATAGTAGGCAGCAGGTACAAGTCTACTTCTACCAGCGACCATATGGTTTAAAAGGTGGAACAGTCCTCAAGTTTGACCTTGGACATCAGGAATCAGTAATAAACCTTAAAAAATGTTCACAGATGCTACAAATACAAACATGCCTCATTTTTACAAATAAGGCAAGACCCTCCATCAGCAAAAAGATGATAATTTGTCTTATTGTGACACTCACCTTATTGTGACAGTCTCCTTATTGAGACATTCATTTTATTGTGCTGAACCCTCACTACCTCAAAGATACGCCTATAATAAGGATTTCTCTCTGTTGAACCAGTTCAATCAATTAGAGGTATGCCAAGCAAAACTGATTATGATTTGGCTTCTCTTTAAGGGATCATGGTCACTAAACATAAAGTTAACACATAGTTAGGACACTTCCGCATGCCAGATCAAGGACAAGTGACAACTACATAGCTCTAGTCTGGTCTTGTGTTTATTCTTCAAAATGACCTCTCATCCAGGATGCCAGGTATCAAGGCTGGCCTTTCAGTGCTAATCCATGATCTGGGATTTAAGCTTTCCAGGTTAGTGGGGTCTCAGTGGAGATAAAACAATGTCATACTGCTCTGACAATTTTCACCTGGATCACTCCACTATGGGACACTTTTAAAAAATTCTCTGGTACCTTCCCTTTATCTAGAATAAGAACTGGAAATGCTTGTTTTTTAAGGGTGGAAAATGGTTTGCTTCTCCTGAATACAGAAGAGTGTGTAATTAATTCTCTGCAAGACCCAGAAGTACAAAAAGTCGAATGATAGGCTAGTAATATGGCCACATTTGACTATTTCTGAAGCTGAGCATCTTGGGCAGAACTAAGTTACAGATGTGGAGAAGAGGGAAGTAACTTTTTATGGAGCGCCTCATATTAGCTTGCTCCATCTGCAGGGGTTAAGTGTTTGAATATGAGCCAGTTAGTGCTTAAGGGAGGCCTGAGAAGTTGTTTGTAGTCAGTGAAAGTCAACATGCCAAGTGTTCGGTGCTTCAAGTGCAAAGAGCTGAACTGGTGAGGTTCATGGTGGCATTCTGCAGGGTGGGCCCAGCGTGAACCCACGCTAGCTTGTCAGGCTTGGGTCTCCAGCCCGCTCTGGGCAGCCTGTGATTGGAAATGTTAGAACAGATGTGTAAAATGTAAAGACAAACTTAAAAACAAAAGTTACAAACTCACTGGCCAGTGACCTGCAAACCTTTCCACTAGGAAGTGAGGTGAGAAGCAGCAGGGACTTTGAGATATAGAGCAGAAGCTGTGTAAGAACTTTCCAGCGCAGTTGGGCTGCTTGTCACAGGCTGGTCTGGCTCCTCCCTTCTAACTGAAGGGGGGGGGAACTCTGGGAGAGAAAAGTGGCCCCACAGAGTGATGTGTGGAGTACTCGTGCCAATGTGAAGAAGGAGAAATCCTTAATAAGGAAAGGAGACAGACAGCAAACAAAAATGTGCCCCTATAAACTAAGAAAACCCTTAGTGTTAGCATGCTGGAGCTTCAGTCTCCTGAAAGCATTCTTTATATGAGCACCTCTGTCACTGCCAGTGGAACAACGGGGGTTAACAGGTTTTAAAACGAACAAAATATTCTGATTTTCTCATGACAATTTAAGAGAAGTACACATTCAAATAAAAGGCACTGTGATGGGGTAGAAATAGCTGAATGTAAAGTCGAACTAAATATGTGTTTACGTCCCGGCTTAGCTGTGCAGTAGTTCTGCAACCCTGGGCAGGTCATTTAATATCTCTGTGCCTCAGTTTCTTTATCCTCAAGGAAGGATGCTATCACCTACCTTAGGGGCCGACACAGTCAGTATAGAGTGGTGGTTGGAGCACCTACTTAGGAATCAACAGACTCAGGCCCCAGTTTTAGCTTTGCTACTTACTGTTTCTTGTGTAAGCTACTTACGTGCCCCCAGTCTCGGTTTCCTCCTTTGTGAAATGGAGATAATGATAGGCCTTACTTTACAGGATCATGATACAATACATACAGGGCGCCTAGCATGGTGTATTGCATACCAGTGAGAACTCGAAATTCCTAATTCCCACTCTCCAGTAATTTTTAAATTAAATGAATGTAGGAGACAGACAAATGGGCAGTGAGAAAGGCAGAGATAAAGAATTTGACATATGTCCCAGTATTTACATAGAGTTCTTACTAACCATAGCAAACAGGGAGCACACAAGTTTTACCTGATCAGCTACTCTGTACACTTCTTCCTTCTGACTGCAGTCACAGGTATAGGCATAGGCTCTTGTGCCTCCCTCGTCCCGAACCATCCTGCATGTCTCCTCATTCCCCTCCTTGTTGACATCCCAGAGAACAAGCACAGCTTTGAGGCGGGCGAATTTGAGGGCTAAGAGCCTTCCAAGTCCACTCCCAGCACCTGTTATGAGTACGATTTCACCAGCAACACTCTTCCTTGGCTTTGGAATTACAGTAAAAACCAGAGTCTCCAGAAGAACAAACAGTGATTTTCCGAAGACAGTTAAAAATTGCTTTGCGGAGTCCATGTTGGGAGCTATATTCTGATTGACACCTATAAAGACAGACTCGTGTGAAGACCTAGGCATCTACTCCTTGTGCATTTGCTTACTATGTCAAGCTCAAACTTTTGGAAATATTAAAAAACAAAACAAAACCCCAAAACAGAAAACTGAGAAGCACAATTTAAACATCTCTTCTGGTAGCAGACTCTGAACTTAGAAAAAGGAGGGGACCCACTGGGATTGCATCTTGGTCGAATTTCATGCATAGCATCAAGCTTGGCCTGCACCTGTGTGCTAAGTAAGTATTGCAGGTGACAAATGTTCATTCATGTTTATTAACCACACCCAAATTTAACCCGGAGGAGACAATGTTCATCATTTCTCAGAAATAATCATGAATCCTGTTGACTGATTTATGTCAAAAGCCTTGACCATATCAGAATGTCAGCGCCATCCCTGCTATGTCTTTGGTTTTTTTCCTGTCTCCTTTTGGGTTTGTGTTTTTTCATTTGCATCGTTGTTCTTTAATTATGTGTCAATATTTAATATCTGAGATTCAGGAGAAAAACATAAAATCCTATTTGCGTGATGTATTTTAAGAAGAGTAATTAGACGTTCATTCTGAACCTTTTCTGATGAATTTACTGTCAGCTCTGGATATGCTTTCCCCAGCTCTGAGCCCCTGCGCCTGTGAACTTAGGTCATCAGTGAGACACACCTGGATCCCTGTCCTGCCCAGCTGTGAAACCTGGGGCGGGGCCCCACAGCCTCTCTGGGCCTAGGTCTCCTCATCTGCTCTTACTGGTCCTGTGGTGTCACAGATGAAACAAGAATGTATCTGATGTGCTGGACCACATGCTGGCTCACAGTAGGTGCTTTACAAATGTTATCCTGTTTCTCAGATTTGTGATGCTACTCACCAACAAGGCACCCAATAGGCCTACTGAATGAATAACAAATCTCCCCTTGGTAAGCTCACAGTGGGCTCCATGCTTATATCCTGTTATCAGTTACTCGCGGTTCGATGAGAAGGAGTTTATAAGATGTTTTACTAACAACTAGTTGAGAAAAAAAAGAGGTCTTATTCCCTCCAGGCTGAGAAGACATGTTTAGCAGGGAGCATATTCTGGTGGGTGTGCGAGGTTTCCCTGAGTGGGGTATCTCACTGACAGGCACAGAGGAGGGCAGGTGATGCTCGTTAAAAATACAGCGGGTCCTCACTTAGCAGTTGGATAAGGACAGATTAGTTACTATTAATGACTACGGGTGGATAGAGTCCCCCATAGGAGGACTTGGAGGGCTCATTCGGCAAATGAGGCTAAGGATCAGAAGGAATATGTATGCAATTTATCCAAAGTCCCTGTGCTTGCTAATGCAGGGCCAGGTGTTCACTTATTATGTGTATGGAGCATTAATGCTGGGCACTGGGGTTGCGGGGATGGGCAGCCTCCTGTATTCTCTGGCCTGGTGAGCTAAGGATCTAGTTAAAGAGCTAGACATTAAGTGAATGAATACATCAGCACAAGCCATAGTAGTATAAAGAAAAGTGCAGGGAGCTATAGAGTAAAAAGGAGACTTAGTTTAGGTTGTGGGCAGGATAGCAGGCAACAGGAGAAATTTGCTGGGAACTGACAATTGAGCGGATATTGGTAAGATGAGTGGTGAGAGCTACACAGATCTGGGCGTGGTGTGCCTGGCAGAGAAACAGAAGGGTTCAAGCCTTAAGGTAGGTATGACCAGTGTGTCCGGGACTGTCCAGGGAATACAAATGCTGGAGCTGGGGGACACGGGCGTTCAGGTTAGACAAAGAGTGTTTTCTGCTGTGGGGCACTGTTTCACCATATGTTGGATGAAACGGCCTTTAAACTCTCTGGCATTTTGTTTGAATTTATTTTCATAGAGAAATTGGGACAATTGCTTGGGCACCCCACCCAGGTCCTGCAGGACTTGGAAAGAAGGTGTCCTAAAGGGTGAAGGTGGTATTTGGACCCTTCCTTATCTTCAATAGTCATGGGGTATGTACCTTTAGACCTGTGAGGATGAGGGCTGCCTTTCCACAGTGTGGCGGCACCCTGGGCACTGGCAACGCCCATTCCATGAGAAAGCCCACGCGAGGCCACTCGTGCCCTTTCAGGCACACAACTACGTAAGTCCAAGCCAAAAGGACAAAGGTCTACTTCGCTCCTCATGATGCAGGTGGATAGGAGTCTTACCACTGACTTGGGTGACAACGACATTCTGAATGCCGGGGTTCCAGTACTGCACAGTCTCAATGTGGGCATGATGTGAGACCAAGCACTGGCCCATTGCTTATCCCTGTCCTGGCAGATGCTTAAGAGTATGGCACCCTGAGGTCTCCCTCACTCAGTGTTCGGGGTGTCTGTGGGGGACCTGCACAGGTAATGAGGCCTCCAGATTAAATTTTGGGTTGGAATTCTGGATCTGCCACTCACTTCTCCGCAACCTTGGTTAAAATCATTCCATCTCTTGTGCATCAGTTGCCCACCCGACCGCCCCAGGCCCCTCCAGGAGGCATAGGGTGGGGGGTGGGACAAAAGGAGTCAAGGCTGGATTTCAGGGCCTGCCATGTTACAGGCCTTGTTAGAATAGCGCTAGGCACACAATGACAGCAAAATAAATAACAGCTAAAGCTCACTGGTGTTACTGCTAGCATATAAATTAATGATCCCGGGCAACAGCAATTAAAGATGGTTATAGTAACTACACTTACAAACAAAAGTAAATGTAAAGTTCCATTTTAGTGTAAAGACCCTTAGAAAGTGACAGCATATTAAATTTAATCAGACTGAAGACTTCTTTGGTGTCTCCATCCCCTGTCCTAGCCTCCTAGTCCAAAAGCTGAACTAACTGGTACATTTTAAACAGGTGACCTATTATTCCCAGCCCGGGGTAAGGGGCGGGAGTGGTAGTGAGATAAGGGGCAAGGGAGTACTTGGGAGCTTTAGGAAGGAAGAGATAGATGCATTCAGCAGCAGAGAGCAACAGCAGAGAGCAGGCCACCTAGGCAGAATGGATCAAAGGGGAAACCAGGGAGTCATCCTACCCTCTGCTCTGGGTCGGGGAAGGAGGCTAGCAGTTCACCCTTGCGGGGCTCGGCGGCGGCCTGGGCATCTTGAGCCGCTGGGACGCTGTAGCCTGGCGCTCGCTCCGAGGTGCAGCGCCCTTTCCGGCTGGCCCCGAGCTCCGCGTCCCCCGCCCGCGCTAAGGCCCGGGTCGCTTGGATCTCGCAGGACTGGGCTGCGGAGAGCTCGCGGGCCGCGAGCACCACTCCTCCCAGAGGCCGTCCCCTAGCCCTATACGGCGACTTGGCGGACTCACCCGGGACACGCTGCCCTCGCTGCCTGCGGTGAAGCCGGCCTCCTTTGCCTCGGCACCAGGTCCCTGACTCGCAGATGGACTCCGGTTCAAAGTTTACTCTGGCAGCTAATGATGACCGCGTCTGAAGGCGGGTCGGCCCCGCCCGCGCAAGGGGTGGGGCCGCGAGGGCCCCAAGGGCCACGTGGACCGCGTTCTTTTTTTTTTTTTTCTCCCGCGCCCAGATTTAGAAGCTGGAAATTAGGTCGCAGAGACCAGATGGGCGCGCCAGGATTTCAAACATAAGAAGCCCCTCCTCCCCACCGCGGGACGTTTAAAAATTTCCATAACCAGGCTCCTCCCTAGATTCTTAAATCAGAATTTTTGAGTTGGAAGGGGGCCCAGGTAATAGCATTTAAAAGTTCCCCGGGTGTTTCCAAGCACAGCCCAGAAACCGGAACTGTTGCATTAGAGAACAAAGGGGAGGCAAGTGAGGGAGTCCAGGCGCGGAGACGGCCAGTCACGCCTGCGCCGTGACCCTGCACACAGAAGGGGAGCTTCCCAGCAGCATCTGACTCCTCACCTGGAATCAAGGTTCTGGCCCACTGGTGGTAAGTAGTCCAGCCTAGGCCGAGCCTCGGGGCAGTGGGTGGGGTGAGGGGAGTGGGTGTGGCTTTAGCAGGAGGCGGAGGAGAGGAGGACTTAGGGGAAAGCTCCTAAAATGGTGAAGTTGAGAAAAAACAGAAAAAGTCACCAGTGCACTCTGATTCAATCAATATTTTTGAGCTTCTCTGTGTACAAGATTCAGAAAATATAGCAATCCCCATCAGCCTAGAAAAAAAGTTAAATTTCACTTAACCTTAGCTAATCATAGTCTAATATAAGCATACCGCACCACTGCACGTTTGCAATAGAGGCTGGAGTTGATGGGTGGCATAAGGAACTGAAATGCCACTAAATTTGGGGGTATTGAAGGAGAAATGGGGAGTAAGGGCAAGACTGCATTTGGGATTCACCTGAGATTGGATAGGACGCATAGATAGGGACAAGTGGTAAAGGTTCAGAGGAGAACAGTAGTGGCCAGTCTGTATCTGAGACAGACCTGGGCGTGCGCGGGCTGCACATATGTTCTTTTTGGGCTGTGAGATGAAACGGGTTGTCTAAACCTGGAAAAATAGGTGCAGGGGAGAGCCTTGAATGTCATTTCAGTGTTTAGGAGGCTACATGTATGCTGTAGGCAGTGGTGAGCTGCGGCCAGCTGTGGAAAGCATTTGAGTACCTGTTGAAAGGTGAATGGGGCAGGCGTGTGTCCACTGGTTTCAGGTCAGTAATCATCACCCAAGGGCATGTGCTGTGGAGAGCTCTGTGCATGGCTCTAGGGAACTACAGAGCTTTTGTGGGGGGCAAGGGGGAGGCACATTCATGAACTGCACATGTGTGGATGATAGACACACACACCCTAGTGCCCCTGTGCATAGAAGAGGGACACTTAGCTAGCCTGGATGAAGAGAGGTAGCTGGGCTGGAAGGGCCTTCCAGACTTGGGAGACAAAAAGCAGCAAGGTGCGGAGGTGGGTAACACCTTGGAGTGAGAGTGACTAAGGCACAGCAAGTTTGGGTGATTGACTCTGGGCTGTACAGCCTGCCTGCAAAAGTTTGGATGGGTGACAGTGGAGAACACCGGACTTACATCATCTTCATGGTTTCTCTGAGCAAAATCCTGGGCTGTCACTACTTCCTGGCCAGAAGTTCAGAGTAGACCTCAAAAAAAAATCTTGAGCATTATTAGGAATCTCATTAAAACAAAATATGAGTGCAAAGGTTGACTGATGACGTAATTAAGGGGACGTAGAGTTCTGCTGTTCGGAGGTCTCACTTGGCCTTGATGTGGGGAAAACTCAGTGGATTGACCATAGTCCTGAAAGTTAAGAAAGTATTTTTAAAGGGTTCTTTGTGGCAAAGGCTAGGAACAGACAATTAATTTATGATGGAAGATGCAGAATGGGCTAATGTATGAAAAGTATGCTCAAACTTCATCCTTAGAGAAAACATTTCTTGCTTTCAAAACCGATATATGTTAAAAGAAGGAGAACAGCCTCATATAGTAGTGGTGTCAATTATACATTTCTAGAAAACAAGGGTTTATCAGGAGCTAGAAAGGTATATGCCCTTTCACCCAATTAATTCCACCTATGGGCTTTATTTTTACAACATAATTAGTTATCATTTGTTGATTTCACAAAGGGAAACTGATCACCGGGAGTCAGAAGTTGGAAGAGAGACTTTTGACTAGACTGAATCATGGAATGTATTACTCTTCCTGGAGATAAGTATATTAATAAAAAAATAATTTGATCATTGCCCTGGCTGAGTAGCTCAGTTGGTTAGAGCATCATCCAGGTATGCCAAAGTTGTGGGTTTGATCCCTGGTCAGGGCACATTCAAGAAGTGACCAACAAATGCATAAATAAGTGGAACAATAAATTCATGTTTCTCTCTCTCCCTCTTTCTCCCTCTAAAATTAATAAATAAAAATGAAAAAATAAATTCATCGCTAATTGCTAAGAAATACGTGTAGATACAGTGCTCTACAACCATTTTTTGAAATGTTTTTCAAGGATAGAAGAAAATACTCTGAATATAATGTGAGTTTAAAAAACATGGTACAAAACTAACTATATGCTATGATGCTACATTTCTGTGACAATTTTATTTGCGCTGGAAATATTAGAAGCAGATTCACTAACATCTGAGCATTTTTTATTATCAAATAGTGGAATTTTGGTCGATTTGTATTTTTCTTTGCCTTTTTGTATTTTTCAACTTTTCTATTATGTGCATATTTTTATTTCATAATAAAATGTTTCTTAGAACATACTATGACATTTCCACTTAAGAAGGTAGACTAAGCATATGTATTTATAGCCTATTTCTTCTGGAATTCCATTGAAATGAAAGGGAAGATAGAAAAATGTGGAGAAAAACATACTGTACTAGCAAGAAAGGGACTCCCAGTGAGGACTAACTGGAGGCTGGTAAGCAGATGGATCCCATTTCCAGAAACCAGAGCAAAAGATACCTTAACCCAAAACATGCCCTGGGAAGGCACTACAGTCATGAGTCATCCTTCCCAACAGAAACCCGGAGTAACTCCAACTCAGTCAACACAAACAAAGAGGGGAAATAGGACATAGGGCATTGAGATGGAATAAGAATCTTGACATAAAAGGACAAAACAATGAAAGTATTGAAAAAATGTAAAAAATTATTTTGTAATTAGGGGCTAGGCAATGAACCAGCAGTCATTCATTTGACAACATAAAAATATCAACTTCTGTTGAGCAAAAAAAAATCATAAGCAAAGTAAAATGATAAGCAACAGACTAGGAGTAAATATTTTCACATAAAGAATTAAAATTGATAATTAGCCATAGTTTATAGTGTTTCTATAAACCAGTTTCTGTAAGGCGGTAGGAAAATGGGTAAAGAAATGCACAGGCAATTCATAGGTCAATAAATACAAATGACTGAAAAGATGCTAAATTTCACTGGTGTTCAGGAAAATACAAATTGAAAAGGCATATCTTTTTTTCATCCATTGATACCGAGATACTGAAAAGTTAAATATAGCGTGGCCGTTGTGGCTCGGTTGGTCGGAGTGCCAGGGCACATTGCTGGGTTGAGGGTTCTCTCCCTCTCAGGGAGTATAAGATTCCCCCGTCCAGGCACGTACGAGAGGCAACCAATTGATGCTTTCTCGCATCCGTGTTTCTCCCTTCCTCTCTCTCTAAAAGCAATGAAAAAAAAATGTCTTTGGGCAAGGATTAAAAAAAAGTTAGATATAAATTCAGGGACAGTGAGGATGTGGGAACCTGGGCACTCTCAAGCACTGTGAGTGGGAGTATAAATAAGTTGACGTATCCTATGTGGAAAGCAGGGGTCCCTGTCATGCCTTTGGACACTGCCCTTTCACATCCGGGGTTTCATCATAGGAATGTTGAAATTTGTACAAAAGGAACCCTCATTGGAGTTCTTCTGCAATGCTTAAAAAAAAAAAAGAAATAGAAGCTGTTTAAATGCACATCTATTCCATGAATCATGGTGTGGTCACACAGTAGAATTTTATGAAGCTGACAAAAAGAATGAATTTAAAATTATATTTATTAGCAGGGAAAAGTCTCCAGGGTGTGTTAAGTGAAAAAAAAAAGAGCAGAACTACTTCACTGAAATTCAGTTTATGCTTATATTGTTCATGGTGTGTTTGTATGTGTGTGTGAAACACAGATGAAAATGCAGAGAGGAAGAGTGGAGGCGCACACGCCACGCTGTCCGCAGAGGTTACCCCAGGAGGGGAACAGAATTCAGTGAGGCTCCTGAAGGGAGGCCTCCTGTGTTATGATAGATATTTCTGTATCGTTAGAGTTTTTACCAATGTCGCGTATTGTTTTATAATATAAAAAAATCAAAATAATGATAGAAATGTACATACTTTTTTGTTTCAAAAATATTTACTTTAAGAACGTACTGTCTTGAGGGTTTACTTTGCAAAGTAGTGGAAGGAGTCTCATCACCAGATGACACATTAAAAATATATTAGGTTTACCGAAATGTAATATTTTGGAATACTGTCTTGATTTTGGTAGGAAGTTATAAAATTCTCAGAGAAGAACAGAATTGGCCTGAAGCTAGGTTTGTTCGTTCCATGACGAGAGGAAGGCAGCGTCAGCTGGGACAGAAGGAGGAAACAAGCACACTTCTTGTGTAGGTAGGAAGAACAATACAGAAGAATAAGTCATGCAAGAGTGGAACGAAGCAGGTGACATTTGTGCTGCCACCTTGTGAGGGAAAGTAACCATATACCAAAGAAACTCAAAAGTTTCAGAAAGCTAAGACCCAGGGAAGACAGCGATAGGGCTGGGCACACGACGGGAATTCCTGTGAACTACATTT